AGTTACTCTTTTCATTACTGAGGTAAAATATCTGACAATTTAAAGAAAGAAAAGGATATTTTGGCTTACAGTTTGTAGAGATTTCGGCCCACAGTTGGCTGACTCCAAGGCAGGGTGGCCTGGCAGAGGAGGAACGGTCCCGTGCTGGGGCAGTGGGAAGCAGAGAGAGACCAAGGGAAGAGTGGGGAGGAGCTAGGCCCAGGTAATGTCCCCAGAGACCCACCTCTTCCAGCCAGACCCCTCCTCCTAAGAGAAAGTCACCCTAAGCCTCTACAATCCAATCACCTTCCACAAGCCCCAACTAGGAATGCATGAGGCTTGGGGGGAACATCTAAATGACCGTAACACATAAATAAACAGTAACGGTCAATATATCCAAAAAATGAGATAGACACATTACAATTTTTCCTTTGATCAAGAAACCATTCAAGGGGGCCGGGGAGATGGCTCAGTGGAATAAGCGCTTCCCTGGCAAGCTCAAGGGCCTGAGTTTGATCCCTGGTTCCACCAAAACAAAACAAAACAAGAAACCATTCAAGGGTCAGCCAAATAGCTGAGCAGATTAAAGCACCTACAAGCAGGCCTAGGGGCTGGGGTTTCAATCTCCAGGCATGATATGCCAGCCCTGCCCCTGGGGCATGCTGAGACAAGAAATAAAACTGGGCGTAGTGGCGCACCTGTAATCCCAGCACTTGGGAGGCTGTAAACAGGAGAATCACTATGAGTCCGATCTAGTAGTGAGACCCTGTAGACCCTGTAGACCCTTCCCTAAAATACAGAAAAAAAGGGGGAAAAAAAAAAGGAAACCATTCAAGGACCACAGAGATAGCTCAGCTGTCTAGGTACCTGCCTGACAAGTGTAAGGACCTATGTTCGACCCCTGGTACCACATGCAGTACCAGCCCTGCCCCAGGCACACAGAGCAGCCACCAAAACTGGGCATGGTGGCACACACCTGCAATCCCAACTCTGGGGAGGCTGAAACAAGAAGATCACTGTGAGTCTGAGCTGCATAATGAGACCCTGTAAATACATAATTATTTTTAAAAGTCCATCTCAAAATAAAAAATAGAAAGGGCTGTGGATACAGCTCAGTGTAGAGCACCTATAGTTCAATCTTCATTACCGGGAAACAAATTCTACAGAAGGCATTTCGGGACAATTGGGGACATCTGGGTATTAGCTACTGTGTCTCAAACCATCTGCAGTGAAGACATGTTTTTTTATTTTTCAGTGTGTCTCAGACTGATGCTTTTGTAAAATCTAATAAAGACAACTTTCTAGGAAAACAAAGTGAAAAATGTACAAAGTGGAAGTCCAGAATTTTTTTTTATTATTAGAATTAACAGATCTAAAATTACACTGACAAATTGCAATAAGAGTTTCTTTCTTTTTTTTTTTTTTTTTTGGTGGAACCGGGAATTGAACTCAGACCCTTGCACTTGCCAGGGAAGTGCTTATTCCATTGAGCCATTTCCCCAGCCCCCTGAAACAAGAGTTTCTAAATTCTTGCCCTCCATCATGTTATCTAGCTTGCATTGACGTGTAACAATCGAGGGACTGCAGCACTATACCACCAGTGCATTGATTGGCACTTAATGTACAGCCCTGGTGTTGAGAGGTGTTGCTGATCTTTGTAAGTATGCTGGGATGTTGGGGTTCTGCAGGTCTTTCTTCTTGGATATGTGGTAAATGGCAAATGGATATATGGTATTCAGGAGCTGTGGTAGCTTTCTGCCACTATGACAAAGTACCTGAGACAAGCAGTTTATAAAAGGAAAACACTTATTTTATTTTATTTATTTATTTATTTATTTTTTTGCGGAACCAGGGATTGAACTCAGGCCCTTACACTTGCCAGGGAAGTGCTTATTCTACTGAGCCATCTCCTTGGCCCCTGAAAACACTTATTTTAGCTCATAGTTTTAGAAATTCCAGCCCATGGAGTAGCTGCCTTGCTTCTGGGCCTGTGAGGCAGCCCAGCATGGCAGGAAGCTGTGTGGGGCAAAACCTCTCAATTTGTGGCCAGGAAGCAAAAATGAGAGAAAAGAAGGGTTGGGGTCCCACTGTCCCTTCAAGGGCACGCCCTCAAGAGCCTAAAGACCTCCAATTAGCACCTCTTCTAAGAGGCTCTACCGCCTCTCAATGTCGCCATGCTGGGGGCAATGTCTGGGGACAATGTCTTGACATGCGGATCATCGAGGGACTTATCCAAAAGTTAGAAGGAGACGTCAGTGTGTGCACCTTGCTTTCAGGAAATGGTTCATGAAAAAGCATCCACATGGAGAGGGGCCAAATACGAATACATAGTTCAAATATGGGGCAGGCTTTGAGATATTCATTGTGTTATTTAAATTGATTTTCCTGCGGGTTTGAATAATCTTCAAATAAAGAATTGGAGTGGAGGACATAAAAACTTGTAAACCCTTGCTTTATTTTTTGCTGGAGCAAATGAAATGTGAGGGCAAACCTGCAGAGGTGCATAGGCCAAAGGCCAGGCACACTGCCCTGTCCCACCCCGGGGAGCAGCAGGTTGCAGGACAGCAGAGCCAGGACTGGTGTGCAAGGCCCAGAGACATGTCAGCACCAACCTGTGGTGCCTGCCAGGTATGCTGAGAGGCCTTGGCAAGTGAACCATCAGTGCCACCTCAGCCCTTCAGTGACATGCAAAGGCCCTGCTAGAAACAGAAAATAATAACTGGGGCAAGAAGCGACACCATGAACATTGTGTCACAACTGTGGCTTGAGCTGCTGTGGCCAACTATCCTGACAAATGGGTCTCATATGTAGATTTTCAGAAAAAAAGTAGGGTCAGATGTATTGCTTTAAAAGTACAGAGTTCCCCTGGGAGGGAAGACTCATCCAAGTGAGACGCATTAATAAGGTATTTTGCAGGTGACTAAACAGTAGGTCGCACCACGATCTTTAGACGCTAAAACCAATTTCACTTGGGAACTATGAGGTGTAATTTAAAAAAAAAAAAAATACGGTGAAGGCTGGTGAGATAGCTAAAGGGCATAAGTGCCTGCTTGGGGGGCTGGGGAGATGGCTTCGTAGAATAAGCACTTCCTGGCAAGCGCAAGGTCTTTTCAATCCCTGGTTCCACCAAAAAAAAAAAAAAAAGAAAGAAAAAAAAGTGCCTGCTTTTCAAGGACAAGGACCCAAGTTCAATCCTCAATAAATAAATACAATGAATGTTTAAATTTTTTTTAATGTATTACAATAAAAGCTCATCACCATTATCTCCCTTCAAAATAGTCTCCTCCTCCTCCTCCTCCTCCTCCTCCTTCTTTTTGTGGAACTGGGGATTGAACTCAGACCCTTGCACTTACCAGGCAATCACTTATTCTACTGAGCCATCTCCTGGCCCCATTCCCACTACCTAAACAGGGATTGAATTCAGGCCCTTGTGCCTGCTGGGGAAGCGCTTATTCCACTGAGCCATCTCCCCGGCCCCCCACTACTTTCTGAAGCAGCTCTGAAGTGCTCTTCTATCTCTTTAGTTATGCTGTCATCACTACCTTGATATTCTGAATCGATTCAAAACATTTACCTTCCACGGTCATTCTGACTTTGAGAAAGAACCAGAAGTCACCTGGTGCCAGGGCCACTGAATAATGTTTTTCTGAGCCTGTCTTTCTGTTGAGGCCATGTATCAGGAGCATTCACTGAGGCTTTTTTTTTTTATCACATCTATAAAGACACTCACAGAATAAGACTTCCAGAACTGCTTCAAAAAGTAGCAAAAATGAGGGGATAAATGTGTTCAACGTTGCGGAGATGGCTCAGAAGAATAAGTGCCTGCCTGGCAAGCGCAAAGTTCCGAGTTCAATCCCTGGTACCGCAAACAAAATAAATAAAATAAAATTGCTGTAATGTTTTAATAATAATAATAATAATAAAAGTGTCTTCAAAATCAGGGAGAGGGGCCAGCCAGATAGCTCAGTGGACCAAAGTGCCTGCTTAGGCACTCAGGGGCTGGGGTTTGATCCCCAGCAACATAAGCTGTGGCAGTTCTGCCCCTGGGGCCCACTGAGACAAGCAATTGAGACCGGGCGTGGTGGCACACACCTGTAATGTAATCCCAGCATTTGGGAGGCTGAAAACAGGAGGATCACTATGAGTTGAGTCTGATCTGTGTAGTGAGAGCCTGTACTAAATACATTTTTTAAAAAACCCAGGAAGGGGCCGGGGAGATAGCTCAGTAGAATAAGCACTTGCCTGGCAAGCACAAGGTCCTGAGTTCAATCCCTGGTACTGAAAACAAACAAACAAACAAAAAAACCACACCCAGTATTTAATTCAGCTTCGCAACTCATTTGAAGGACTACAGTGAATTTGGAGGGGTTAAGCATCACCACCCCTCCTAGGTGCTGCTTGGTGGCTGTTACAGCCTGTGTCTAGATGTCCCCCCAAAGCCTCCTGCAGTCATGGGGGGCACCTTTTCAGAGGTGGCTGGAGCTAGAGTGTGTACACTGGGATTGATCCCTAGTGCAATGCTAGGATCAAGGGTTAAGGGTGTGAGTGCTACCTGCCCTAACTAACTTGGATAAGATACAAGGGAAAGTGCTGTGGTTGTACTTTGTTATTTTGCTACCTTACCCCTCCATCAACTGGTTCTCCTCTGTGATGCCTTCCTGCTGCCACCCTCCCTTGGAGCCAGCTGATTATGGACTGAAACTGCCACAAGCTAAATAACCCCCCCCCTCTCTCTCAAATTTTATTCTTACATGTACAACAGACTCCAAGAACACATTTCATTGCAGTTATAGGCGTCAAGAGATGTTATGAAAAGGCCTCCAGATAGTTGAATAGGAATGGAATCCAGGGTTACTATCATTGTACACAAAAGCAATAGTTTCTTTCTTTCTTTCTTTCTTTCTTTCTTTCTTTCTTTCTTTCTTTCTTTCTTTTTTGGCAGAACCGGGGATTGAACTCAGACCCTTGTGCTTGCCAGGGAAGCACTTATTCTACTGAGCCATCTCCCCGGCAGCAACAGTTTATTTCTTGCTAGATTTCTTAATTCCACCTGTGGCCAGGGGGCCCTTTCCTGTGGCCCTCGTTTTTATTTTATTTTTTATTTTTTTGATGGAACCAGGGATTGAACTCAGGCCCTTGCACTTGCCAGGGAAGCGCTTATTTCACTGAGCCATCTCTCTGGCCCCTGGTCTTCACTTTTAGCTCCACAAGTTTCCTCAGTCCCTCCTTTTGCTTCTGTCTGAATGCTCTATCTTCCTCATCCAAATCCTTGGCCTGTTTCTTGGGCCGCTTCAGGGGCTTCTTGCCACCTTCATGGCTGGACATGGCGTCCGCACACCCTCCAGAGCCGAGCTCAGAAGCCAGAGACCCAGCCTTTGCTCTCTTTACTTGTGGTGTTGGGTATTTTGTCTCAGCAACAAGAAAAGTAACCAAGAGAGTGACTGAAGGATCTTAGGGCAAATACTTCATCAAAAACAGCTGTATAAGCCAAGCACAGTAACGTATGGCTATCGTCCCAGCACTTGGGGGGACTAAGACAGGAGATTCCCTTGAGCCAAGGAATTCAAAGCCAGTCTGGGTGACACAGCAAGGACCTATTTCAAAGCAAAACAAAAAGAAACAACTATATAATCTGTGGGGCCCAGAGTAAACTGAAGACACAGTGCCTCTTGTTCAACATTGTTAAGAATTTTATGATGGTATCAGCTGAGCCAAGTGGACAATCCTGTTGAGTACCAAGCTCTGTGGGGGCACACAGGTCTCACGTCCTTGAAGCCAGCCCCACACCTACCTTTTCCGGGAGCTTTAGCCTTTACACAGATAATAGCGGAGTTGTAGTTCCTACCTTGAGGTTTAAATAAGGTAATATTTGGGCCAGTGCAGTTTCCCTGCGATGCTGTCTTCTTGGAGGTACCTTATCCATCAGCCGGGGTTTAACCTTTGCATGGAGGGTCCATTCTGAGCCAGGCACTGACCACGCCCCTCTTGCTTGTTGGGTAGAAGTGGTTCAATAGGATTTAAGCTGTGTGTGTGTGTGTGTGTGTGTGTGTGTGATTAAAAAATAAAAGTCCTACAATCTGAGGTACAGGATCTTAGGATAAATCCTGAGGAGATTTGACTGACCTTATCAGATCCAAAAGCTACACCTCTTGTTGCATAGGTC